TACTTTGCAGCTTTGGCTGGTCTGAAACTCTATGTAGAACATGCTGGCCTCTAGCTCACAGAGATGCCAATGGTATATACCCTGGAGCTCTACTGATAGACCTTTTCTGGTTTTTTTTTTTTTTTTTTTTTTTTTTTTGGAAACTCCAGTCTCTGGTCATAACCTCGAAGGTGCCCAGTCTCATTTAATTGAGGGTGATAGGCATTTGGTTAGCACCCTGATAGCAGAAACTCAAACTTTCTCTAGCCATGGTGACTTACTTCATTGCTCTCAGCACTTGGGAAGCTGTGGTAAGAGGTTTGAGGTCAGTCTGGGCTCCATAGTGAGTCCCAGCTTCTCCCAGGGCCACAAAATGAGGTCTTGTCTCAACAAGACAATGAACCAATAAATTGACAAGACCAATACTTTAACTTCACTTAGTACTAATTTATCCCAAAATTACTCCTTGCTGTGCTATCAAGAATCTGGATCTCACCTGAGTTGATAGGCCCTGGAACAGATCTCCTCAGACTGCTTTGGGATGGGGTACCACCCAGCATGTTCTGCTGCTTTCTAACAGATCACTGTCATATAAGTGACAGTTTTTATAAAAGCTATTGTTACTTTAAAACGATAGAAGGGATTGCTCACATTCATGTAACCATAAAATACTAGGTCAAGACAGAAACCTTCTGTCAAGTGACTCCTGAAGACAAAACAGCAGAACAGTGTTTGTCCCTACCCTGTCGAAAAGGGAAGGAATGAGACAGGACTGGTTTTGTAGGGTAACGAAGAAGACATTGTTCTAGGTCTGTAAGGAAAGCCTTCGAACATGAAGCTAGCTTAGCCTCATTCTAATCTGAGCAGTTAAAATCCTCATTTTGAATCAAGGTTTTGTCATCCTTGATTCAGGGAAGTATGTGAAAGGATGCCTGAAGGGGTATTCTCTCACCTGCTTTCCTTGGTGTGTGTGTGCGTGTGTGTGTGCGCACATGTATGTGTGTGTGTTCTCGAACACTCAAGTGTATATTTTCTTTGAGGCAGGATCTTACTATGTAAGGTTACAAGGCAATTCTGCCACTTTGACCTCCAAAATACTAGAACTATAGCTCCTGGCTCTTGGCTCCTGGCTCCAAATCTGAAATTCTATCTGTCAAATGCCTTTGAAATTTGATAAAAGGTAATAACAGCAGCATGGCTGTTATCATGTTTTGTTCACATAGTTGGTGTATTTCCACTAAGGATTATCAAATTCAAGGCAATATCATTTGTTTGTGTTTTCTGGGTCATTCTGCAGGAATCCAAGTCAAGGCTTGAAAAAGGATAACCTTTATCAGAACTGATATATTCTCCAGCTCCTGGATTTTCACATAAAAACTGAGAATTTTTTCCATTCATTTTAACTGAATTTTGTAGGCTCTCAGAATAAGATATAACCTGTATATATCTAGCAACAATTTGTCATTAACACATAGAATGAAAGAAAATCTTACCTAGTTTAGCTTAGCAATTGTAAACTAAGTGAAATTAAGCTGATTTAGCCAAGCTTTTAGAACACCAGAGTGAAAGGCAGTAGTCCAGAGGATTGTGGAAAAAGCATTAGACCTAAATTTGTTCAGATGCTGCTCCTCCAGTCAGGAGAGCTGTCTCCAGTGACTGTTGCTACTAAGGGGAGACCTGAGAGCCAGGAGAAGTTTGCCTCCTGAGGCTGGGCTTTGGACATTGGGTAGTGACATATTTACTTCACATGGGAGTGGAAGAGAGTCTGATACGAAACAAAGGAAAGAAAGAGGAGAGGGGGATGAGATGAGAAAAAAATCAGACTTGGAACTAGGCATGATGGTACCCCTCCCCGTATAATCTTAGCACTTAAGAGGTAGCGTCAAGAGGGTGGGAGTTTGAGGCCAGCCTGGACTCAGAAACAACAACAAAAACCACACTTGATCTTTAGACACACAAACAAATTGGCCTTGGGCAATTAATTGTTCAATCTTTCTACATAACACTTTGCACAGTTAATCATTTTTCTTTTGTTGGGTTGCTATGAGGATTAATGAAATAATCTGCATAAAGTGCTTGTCCCATGGGGTTTAAAACCCAGTCAGAACTAGTGTGGCTACAGTAGGCAACCGAGGGGGCACATTCCTATAGTCTCTTCTGGCCGCTCACTGGATTTCCTCTGGATAGCTGAGAGATGTAGGAAGCAGCCTTCTAGCCTTTTGCAATCAAAAATTGGGTTCAGGACTCAGCTGTCGCTTTAGTGAGTGTCTGTGAACTACCCCCACCCCCAGAACCCAGTTCTGTTCACACACAGCTCAATGTGGGCATCAGACAAAGGTTCACTTTGTAGGACTGTCTAGCTGGACTATAACTAAGATATGCAGAAATGTGTAGAACTTCAATAGAACATAAGGAAATGGATTATTCTTGGCCCAAAACAAAGACTTTATAGAATATGAATTTGTGTGTAAGGCACATAGAAAAGTTCAGCAAAGTATCAGCATCCATGTGACAACAGTTATTTCTAAGGAAGGAAGGAATAGTTCCAGAAAAGATGAGCTAAACTTCTCTACTGCCTTCAAATTTTATGCATTTTCTTATTACCTGTGTAATAGCAATAATAATAAATTTAAAAACCATATATGCTGAGGTGTGGCTGTGATCCCAACACCTAGGAGTTAGAGGTCCTCTAGAGGATCAGGAATTCAAGTTCATTCTCAGCTACTTAATAAGTTGTTGGAAGTTAATCTGGGTTAGAAGAAAGAGACCCTGTATCAAATCAGTCAAACAAAAACACCCAAACTAGAAAAGATGAAGGCAGTGTCATAGTGTAAGCAGTGAGCATTTAGAATACAGTACAAATCGGATGTGTAATGAAACAAAGTAGACAGGAATCAAGGAATTTCTCCCCAGGGCATCAGTGATATTCTACTGGGCTCACTGTCCTTGAGGGATGAGGAGAGCAAAGGGGCTGGGGAGGGAGATGTCAGACCCAATCTCCAGCAGGCTGAGCCCAATAAAATGGCCTACTAGAGCTCATGGTGTAAATCTCTTCCTCTCTGCAGTTTTTGAGAAGACATCTGTACCCAGTCTCACTCTTTTCAAAATCCAAGGTCTGCAGAAGCACGGGGTGAAGCGTACTGGTAAACTATGCTCACAAGCAAAATGCAACCAGATGTCAAGCTAGGATTTCTAGTAGTACATTCTGATGGCAAAGAAAATAAGAAACCATTAGATAGATGATAGAACGAAACAGACACTTGGTTGACTGACAATACCCAGCTGAAAGGGTTCTAAACTCCCCAGGACTGTAAGTGTAGTCAACTATTTGGGGGTTGGGGGTTGGGGGCGGTGACTTGCATGCTTCAGGCCCAGCACTGTAAAACAAAATACCCTCCATAGCACCAAATAAATTAATTAAGATAGGCATGATGTCATAAGCTTAAGCATACAGCTCTAATACTCAAGAAACTGAGGCAGGAGGATCACTTCAGCTCAGTCATTCAGGACAGCCTGTTCAATGTAGCTAGAAAACAAACAAAAAAACAAAAAACCCCAGCAAACTTGTCAAAGTTTGTTAGCTAGAAGGGAGTAAAGAATTTAAGAACTGAATAAAGGGGCCCTTCCTTTAGAAAGGTATCTTTTCTGACTACAGGAGAGACCTAAGTAATGCCCAGAGAACGAAGGATGGAGAAGCTGTGCTGACCTGCTTTTATATAGGTTGCAGACTCTACTGGGGAAAGACCTCCGCTGACACTGGCTGCAGGAGTTAGTGTTATTCAGATTCAATGCATATCCTTTGCATTTGGCCATGGACTTTGGGAGTTCTAAACCAGGATGTGAGAGAGCTTCTGCTGGTACTTGCAGGCTGCTTATTTGCAGACCCGCCTTTCCAGCTTGACCCTTTAGTGCAAGGAGGCAGTCCAGCCCAACCTGTGATTCATTACGTTCTGTTGCCATTGCAGGCACAGCACACACAGAAAGGCCTGAATGAAGGGAAGGGTGAATGAATGGAAAGAAGCATCGAGGATAGAACCGCCCCAGGCACTAAAGAGGACCGGACAACTGGGGGCTGGAGGAGCCCCCTATTGCTTAAGAAACACTCCCCATAAGAATGTCAATCATCAGTCATCCAACAACCATTCATTTCTTATCCCCTACTCATGTATAAATTTGCAGAACCACAGACCTCCAGTGTGTCCATTGTGATGAACTGAGTTTATCTGTGAAACAGAGAAAGATCTATTCACGTACAGCCCTGTGACATTACTAACACTATGAATGAAAGAACAAGGAATTTAAACAAATGTATAGAGCGAATGTATACAGCACCATAACTCCCCACTCACAGTCATAGTTCGGGCTATAAAACAGGCTTTCTCTTATTCTTTTTGGTGACGGCACGTATGTTAAGGAAAATTGAGGCAACTTAAAATAAAGGGTTTGAGATGTTGGGAGTCCATCGTTTCTGTAAAAGATCGCTCTGGTCCTTTTCTGTTTATACCAAAGATAGAGATACTGGCAGGATGAATTTGAGGAGCCAAAACTGCTTCTAACAATTGAAGATGAAAATGCAGCAGCCCTTGAGAGGGAAGAAAGGTGTGGCAAAGTTGAGCCCTTGGAAGATAGGATCTAGGGAGCTACTTAATTAGCCCAGACTAAATTGCTTGCTAGTAACTGCACTAGGGCCAGCTCTCTTTGAAATTGCATTGTAATCCTGGGCACGGCTTTGATTGAGAAATCTCAGTTCCCATCTTAAACCATTTGAAGGCATCTCCGCTCAACCCCCTCCTACAATGCAACTCCTCTGAGCGCCCCCCCCCCCATCCACCGGCCCCCCCCCCCCCGCTACCCACCCCCTAACAAATCTGAATCTCGGCAGGGCCAGTGGCCACTGACACCAGAAGCTCTGCTTTCACGAAGGGCTCAGTAACAAAACCCGAGGCTTACCCTAGGCAAGCCTCCAAAAGCATTTGAGATAAGCGTAGAAAACAAAAGCAACAACCACAACCTGTACTTACCCGCTTCTTAAAAAATTGGAACGCTGAGCATTTCTTGACCGGGAATCCATTCATGTCTTTGTTTACCATCTTCCACAGAAGGGGCTTCACAGTTATAGATCCAGGGTGGCACCGGCTTGGTTACTGCATCTGTATCCCGATTCGCCTTCCTGGAGATGGTGAATGAAGACCGAACGGGATGGAGAGGCTAACGGAGCTCAGTTTTTCACTCACTCATTCTGCTGCGGCAGCTACTGCAGTAACTCGCCCCACTTTCACAGGCCACCAGCAGTGGCTTTTCTCTTTCCATCATTGCTTTGAAACGTAAGCATCATCGCAACAGGACCCCGGGGGGCGGATGGCGGGATACAGCAAATCTACCCAGAGATGCTCTGGCGGGTGCTCAGGCAGGAGCAGAGTACTGTCCCCGCCCCCAGCTACCGAGCTGCTCCGGGGCTGTGCGGGGAGTGAGCGAGTTGCTCTGCTCCAGGTGATGTGCTTCTAGAGGCTGCTAGAGGAGAGCTGTTTTTGATTGTGTAGGTTCCAGTGGGAGCTGTGGTTAAGCAGCTGGGGGAAGGAGTAAGAAAAAGCTGAAGCTGAGGGATGGAGGGAGGGAAGGAGCCTCCTCAGAAAGGCAAATGGAAAGAGAAAGCAAGGCAGGAAGGAGCAAGGATGAATGCATGCAAATGTGAGTAGGAACAGGGGATGGTCAGGAGACACAGAAAGCACAGGAGGGCAGCTGACTCCCTTGGGAGGGCCTTTTGAATTGGTTTTTCTTTGCTAAGACTGTGGCAACCAGAGTTTCCTATAAAACGCAGACCCAATAATATAATTCTCAATGAAGTTCTTCAGATTCCAGTTCTGGTACCAAACAGCAGCAGCAGGAGCAGGAGCAGCAGCAGCAGCAGCAACAGCAACAACAACAACAACAACAGCCATCAAACGTGTTCCTTCCCTATGCAAACCTTGAAAACTAAAATAATGTGCCTGCACAGGTGTAACAGTGGCTGGTCTCTTACTCCGTAGGGTCTTCTCTGGTGCCCTTCCTTCTGCTGTGATGTTATAAGGAACAACTGAGAAGGTAAGTGTGCCTTTTTCAACAGAGACATCAGCAATAAGAGAAATGAACAGAAACAAAGTGTGCAAAACCAATAGGCAGAGAACCTTGCCCAGAATTTCACCAAAAATTCTTGCTGAATCCATTCAATGCAAAGGAAGTCTTAGTAAGCAAGGACACACATGTCCCAACTTACCCCTGAACCTCTGCATAGTGAATCTATTTAACAAAAGCATTTAACTATGTGTAGCTGGTTTTTATTTATGCTCTTTGATATTGATATTTTATGAGTTTTTTTTTTAATAGTGTTTGTAGCAAAAGGGATTGGCTTTGAGTCAGGCACTGCCTGCCTCCCTGTCAGTGTGTGGCTTTGTATCAGCCACGTCACCTCCCCGTGTCCTTTGAATGCTGCCTGATCTATGAAATAGACATACACAATCATTCATTCGTTCATTCATTCAATCACTTGTTTGCCATCTCATTCCATTCAAATATAGCATTCAAATCCAAATACAGCTAGCGGTCCCTGGTAGGAAATACAATAGAACTATCCTTAAAAATAACTGTTGCCAAGTGCTTGCATGAAACCATGGATTTGATCCTCAGTACCTCAAAAAAACAGACATTGTGGCAATGTGGGACTAGAACCCCAGCAGTTGGGAGGTAGAAGTAGGAGGATCAGCAATTCAAGCTCATCCTCAGATAGTTTGAGGCCAGACTAGAATTTATGAAATCCTGGACCAAAACCAATACCAAACCAGAACAATAACAATGACAACACCCACAGTGTTATACCATTTATATGGGAACTATATGGATTGATTGGGGAAGAGGAGCCTGAGTTCCTTTTGAGTCTGAGTTTCTATGAGGTGAGATATGGACTAAGTTCTCCACGACACAAGGATACATTATGTAATCCTCAGCATCCGTAGGCTGTGGTTTTCCTAAAGGGGCCATCTAAAAACACCAGAGAAAACTCAAAGGGAGTTATTCTAAGAGGAAAGAAATGTTCCCCATTGGGAAATATGGTAATGACTACAGTAAGAACCAAACTTCATCATGAAAAGAAAAAGAATTTGTTTTGCACAGTAAAATTATACCTCAGTAAGTCTCATTAGAAACAGTGGTGGCTGTTCAACCTCCTTCCTGTTCCCTTCCCCACAATGTGTTTTAACAGCCATTTATTGAATGTGGATGAGAGAGAGAGAGAGAGAGAGAGAGAGAGAGAGAGAGAGAGAGAGAGGACTTTCTGAATAACACAGGGAAAGGGAGACTCTGGGGCCCTCAGTTGGATTTCCTGATGTTCAACCACGCAGACTTGCTTTAGGCAGACTCTCTGTTGACCTAGGGTGAAGAGGAATGTCTCATAGAGTCTACAAGAGGGGGAGGTGAAGACAAAACTGAAGTCTAAGCCATCCTTCTTGTCACCCAAATGCCACCTCCAGATGCTGACACTGTATACCAACCTATACTAGACTTTACATAAGGTCCAGTGATGCAAGTTTTGTATCACAGGAGAAATGCACAGAGAATGGCTTCCAGAGGCGCATAGAACTGCACACTTATTCCCTGGCAAACTGGAAAGGATTAGGAGGTGAGGCCTTGTTGGAACAAGTGTATCACTGGGAGTGTCCTTGGAGGTTTCAAAAACCCATTTGAGGCCCCCGCCCCCCCCCCACCCCCACCCCACCCACGACCCCCCTCCCCATGCCTACCCCCATCACACCCCACGCCTGCAGCTTTCAGGTCAGGGTATAAAACTCTGTTACATCTTCAGCACCTTATCTGTTTCCTGGCACACTCCCTGCCATGATGATCAGCCCTCAGAAACCATGAGCAAGCCCCTCAATTAAATGTTTTGCCTTGATCATCGTGTCTCTTCACAGTAATAAAATAGTGACTAAGATAGCATGTATACATGTGCATAAACATTAGATCCATCCTCATTTGTAGGTGACAGTGTAGGAAGGAAAGGCCGGCGACGGCTAAAGAAGCTTTCCATGAAGGAATGATGCTAGTCATAGCCTGGGAGAGTAAGAGGAGGTCAGTCAGATGGAGGAGAAACAGAGAGCAGAGGCTCTGAGCAGGTAGAGGAATCCATAATTTAGGGCCATAGTTTGGTCATTACAACAACAATAAAGTGTTTTATCTAGACAGTTATCTCTTCTGGGACAGCAGGGTCTCTCTTTCCACTTGAACTTTCCCTGAGGTTATAACGAAACCATTTGTAGGTAGACTGTGGTGGTTTGTATATGCTAGGCTCAGGGAGTGGCACTGGGGAGGTGTGGCCTTGTTGGAGGTCTAACACTATGGGTGTGGGCTTAAGATCCTCATCATAGTTGCCTGGAAGCCATATTCTGCTAGCAGCCTTCAGATGAAGATGTAGGACTTGCAGCTCCTTCTGTACCATGCCTGCCTGGATGCTGCCATGCTCCCATCTTGATAATAGACTGAACCTCTGAACCTGTAAGCCACTGCCAATTAAATGTTGTCTTTATAAGAGTTATCTTGGTCATGGCGTTTATTCACAGCTAAGACATAGGCCCACTACCACCCCCTATTTACTAAGTATCTGTTTTGGTAGCCTCAAAGCAAATGCTTTAAAAAGAAGTACTGGATTGTCCTTGTTCTACTTATATATTTATGCATCTTTTTGTTATTTTTTGCAGTGTTGGAGACTGCATGTGATACTTCATGAATGCTAGGCAAATGCTTTTCTGTTGAGCTATATTTTTCTCCTCCTTCCTTTTCTTTCTTTGTTTTGAGACAATATCTCACTAGGTTGTCTCTGGCCTTGTAACTTGTTCTGTAATCCAGGCAGGACTTGAATTTGAGATCTTCCTGTCTCAGCCTTCTAGATTGCTGGAATTAATTAATGGCTGTACTACCAGGCCTGGGTGTCTTTTGCCTATTGTCAGTTTTGCCCAGTGATGATACCATCCTGGCTCCTTGTGCATTCTGAGGCTGGAGGTGACAACATGTCTTCTCTTGGGACAGGTCAGTGGCACCATTATTTGAGGTTTTAGGGCACAGGATCCTAAGGGAGGGGAAAATTATGTATGTATGTATGTATTATGTATTATGTATGTATTATGTATGTATGTATTATGTATGTATGTATGTATGTATGTATGTATCTATCTATCTATCTATCTATCTATCTATCTATCTATCTATCTAGAATGTGTGTCTGTGTGTCTGTATACCTATGCACGTATGTAAGTATCTGAGGAAGCCAGAAGATGTTGTTGGATCCTCAGGAGCTGGAGCTATGAGCAGTTGGCAGCCACCCTGTGTGGGCATTGGGAATGGAACTTGGGTTCTTTGGAAGTGCTCTTAACCATTAAGCTATTGGACCAGACCCTCTTTTCTTTTTTCTTTTCTTTTCTTGTTCTTTTCTTTTCCTCTCTCTCTCTCTCTCTCTCTCCTTCCTTCCTTCCTTCTTCCTTCCTCCCTCCCTCCCCCTCCCTCCCTCCCTCCCTCCTTCCCTTCCTTCCCTTCCTTCCCTTCCTTCCATCCTTCCTTCCTCCCTCCCTCCCTCTCTCCCTTCCTTCCATCCATCCTTCCTTCCTCCATCCCTTCCTTGCTCCCTTCTTTCTTTCTCAAAACAGAATAGATATAGATTTATCTGTCTGAGAGTGATGCAAAAGGTTTCAGGAAGGAAATACCCCCAATTGTTCTTATAGCAAAATAATCCTTGTTTTCATTAAATTAATGAATTGACTTCCTTCTTTTTATCACAAAATATTACTTGTTCAATTTTGTGATCTTGGCACACAGTGGAAGTGGCTGGGTGCAGTAGGCAATGGTTTTTCAAATGAATTCAATAAGAAGACAAATAAGCAGGCACCAGAAACCCTGGCTCTGGGCTCCTTGCAGGAATCCTTAGGTTCCTCTGAGCCTGTGAGACTGTTGCACAGCTCCAGTCAGATTCTCTGTGCTGTGCTCTGGTAACAGTTGCTTGCCGTCCTTTAAGCCTCCTGATACTGTTTTCCTCCTTTCTAATTGAATGTCTAATTTGTAGCATCTAACTGTTACAAAGAATAACTGAAACTTTGATCTCTTTCCCCTCTCCCTTTCTGTGGTGTATGTGTGTACACACATGGATGGTAGATATTAGATCTATTTCCTCTATCATTTTTTAACCTTATTTTTAATTTTAAAATACCTTCTTTGACAATTTCACGCATATCTACATCGCATTTTGGTCCTATTCAGCCCAACTCTGTCTACCCCTACTGCAAACTCCACCATGTACCTCCCCCATCTTTGTTTCTGTCCACATTACTATTGTTGTCTTTGCTTTATTATTATTTTTCTAAGACAAGGTCTCACTATGTAGCCCTGGCTAGCCTGGAACTTGATGTGTAGACAAAGAGATCTCCTAAGGGCTAGGGTTTAACATGTGCTCTACCACGTGGTTTCTCCACCCTTATTTTTGAGGCAGAGCATTTACCTGTAGTGGCTGGTTTTGTGTGTCAACTTGATACAAGTCACAGTCATCAGAGAGAAAGGAGCCTCAGTTGAGGAAATGTCTCCATGAAATTCAGCTGAAGGCATTCAAATGTAAGGCATTTTTTTTTTCAATTAGTGATTTATAGGGGATGGGACAGCCTGTGGTGGGTGGTGACATTCCTGGGCAGATGGTCTTGGGTTCTGTAAGAAGGCAGGCTGAGCAAGTCACAGTGAGCAAGCTAGTAAGCAGCACCCTTTCATAGTTTCTGCATCATCTCCTAACTCCACAATCCTGCCCTGTTTGCATTTCTGTCCTTAAGTTCCTTCAATAATGAGCAGCAATATGGAAGTATAAGCCAAATAAACCCTTTCCTCCCCAACTTGTCTTTTGATCATGGTGTTTCATTGCAGCAACAAAAACCCTAAGATAGTCTCTTAGTGAATCTGAAGCTCATCAGTTAGCTAGACTGGCTAGGCAGAGAGCCCTCTCCTCATCAGCCTGTCTCCGACTCTCCAGTCCTGAGATTACCCACAAATGACATTGTTCAGGGCATTTTCTGTGGATGCTGGGAATCACACTCAGGGGCTCAGGGTCACAGAGCACTGTACTCCCTGACCCCTCCCCCAGCTTCCCATTTGCTTTCTTACAGTTTATCTAGTCTCCCCGCTGACAATATTATTTAAATTATAACATAAATAATAAACAAAGGAGCTTTAATTAATAAAGATACTGATCATATTATATATCCAGAATTGTATGGACTGTGACAGTCTTTCCTCAGCTAACGAGGCTGTTTTCTCATTTGTAAAATAATAGTAATGAAGTGCTTCACCACCTGCCTGGTAAGGAAACTGTCAGTAGTAAATTATATGTGAAGGGCTTTGTCCCTGTTTGCAAAATTATCAATAAATCTATCCTTTTGATTTTAATAAATGTAATGTAGAAACTACTTGAAGAATTAGAGTGTCCACATGTGATACATTTAAGTTTTGGATGGAATGTTATTTTCCTATGGCGCCTGGAAAACAGAAGAGATCATAAGACAATATCTATTGAATGAATAATGTCACACTGAAGAAACGAATACAAATAGATTTACTGTGTGTATATTTGTGTGTGTGTGTATATATTTACTGTGTGTATATTCATGTGTGTATATTTACTGCCTGTATACTTGTGTGTGTGTATGTGTGTATTTACTGTGTGTATGTTTATGTGTGTTTGTGCCACTGCACACTGAACCATCTCACTGGCATATCTTGTTTGTGTGCATTTTATTTGTTAAGACAGGCTCTTATACTGTAGCTCAAATTCAAAGCAATCCTCCTGCCTCAGCCTCCTTGGTAGTGGAATTACAGGTGTGTGAATCACCACAAACGGCTCAGTAAATGGGATCCTCTACAGAAAAGTAATCAGATGAAAAGTTACAAAATCAATACAACTCCCCAAAGGAAAACCCAAACTTAAAACTCAGCTAGTGGTGTTTCAATTTATTTATTTTATATTTTGAGACAGGGTCTCACTATTTAACTCTGGCTAGCCCAGGACTTAACTATGTAGAACAGACTATCTTGAGAGTAGAATCAATCCTCCTGCCTCTGCTTCCAAAGCACTGGGCCCACTGGTATGAACCGTTACTACCAGCTCCAAATCCTGATCGAATCATGACACATAATACATATTGTCTTCTCTATTCAGAGATATGGGTTTTGCCAGATCATCAAATAAATTTGGCCTTCATTTATTCCTATTGCTTACAACATTTTCAGATGGAATTACAAATATCCCTTAGTTGAGGTAGAGGTATAATTGGTGATTCAAGCTGTACCCTCTCCTCAGTTCCATTTCTTGCTTCTCACCTGGCCTGCTCACTCACTGTCACAGGTACCCACATCCACCTCTCTGCCTTTTCTCTCTTCGGTTCTTTCTCCAATAAAGTGGTGCTAAATATGTTCATGACATAGCTTCTTCTGTCACAAAGGCATAAAATCCTGTCTTTCTTGTGACAATATGACAAATCAGTTTGTTAGGAATTGCTCATTTGAATATGTGATAACTCATTTGATACTAAAATGATGAATTTTCTAGCTTTTCAAGATTTTATATTCCTGCATTTATTTTGCTCCCTTGTTTAAACATACATACAAAGGATTTAGAACCTGCAAAGATTGTTTCTTTGAAAGAGAACCTGTTTGGGGAGGCTCCATTTGGATCTGACCCTCCTTGTTAGAACAATCTCTGTCTCCCCAGACAATTGCAGGAAGACCTTGACAGTGTGTGAATCTCATTAGTAGAGACCTGGGAAACATCACCAGCAAGTGCTCCTCCTCAGAAACACCGTATATGTGCACATTTTGTGAGAATGGCAAAATAGGTTAGCAAGGCACCCTGGAAAGGTCATTATCATTTATGAATAGGATGATCTTGTTATTTTTGAGAAATGAAATAGAAATTACAAATGATAATGGATTTTTATAGCCTTTTAATAAGATGCTTTTACAAGATTGGTAATTATGCTTCTCTATTTGCTTTCAATGATCACTCTTTGAGATCGAGTTCAAATGGCCTCTTAGTTGACTGAGCAGAAGGTTACATTTTCAACTTGACTTGTACAAAGGTGTACATTAGCTATTTTTCCATGTTCAGCATAAATAAAGCGTGGTGTGAGACAGTTGCCGTGTGGGGGATAGAATAGTCTGTTGTGATGCATATGGAGTGTCAGGCACTAGAGGGGAAGGAGAAGCGCTAGTCCTGCCTTCTCTGCTCTGTAGACAGATCTGTGTCCATGTCTTTATGTGTGCCACAGAACATAGAGCTGAACTACTTTCTCAGATAATTTGAATCAGCTGCTGCTTCTAGGGAAGGAAGAGTGAGCTGGACAGATGTGACACTGACAGCAGCCCCAGGAAAAAACACAAAGAACCACCCACAGGTTTTCATCCTATTATTCTAGAAAAATATGCCTTAGGATAAATAAATCTCTGAAGATGATTGCTTTAAATTTGAAACTCAGTCTGCCTGGGCTTCTTCTGTTTTGTAAACTGTCCTTATTTAAATTGAACACAATTCTATTTGTGTATGTGTGTGTGTTTAATTTTCTAGAGAATCATACATATTGATACCAACTCAAAAATTATTAAGGTGACAATATAAGCTCTCAAACAAATGGAGTATCCTTTTAAGTGGCTTAGTAGGACTAGTCTGGGAGTTTCTGTGAGGTACCTGAGTCCTGTTTCTGCTACTTACTAGATCTGTGTCTCTGAGCAAGCCAAAATTGCCCAACATCATGCTTCTGATCAATTGGTTTATTGTGAGAATTACAGGGCGCTGAATGCAGATTTAATACACATATGTGTGCATATATCTGTATCTACTTATGAGTATGTGACTGTGCCGATTTTAAAACACTAGATTCTTCAGTTATGTTCCCATTGGCAAGTGAGAGCATCTTGAGCCCTTGACTGTGGGTTTGGTTGGATTACCCCCTTCAGCATAGAGGATGTGATGTTATTGAACTTCTGCCCTTCACTGAGACAGTCTCAATTGGAGGCCTGAGCCACTGTGCAAAAGTTTG